ATTTAATGACCAACTTTTCTGTCTTCCAAATATTAGAAAAATAAATAGTAGTTCCTATTATGAAGCCACTATTACCTGGTATCAAAGATACAGTGAGCATACTACAGGTATAAAGGCATAAACTGGTAGAGTTCAAATCCTGGGACTCACATATTGGAAGAAGACAAAGCACTCCTGCAAGTTATCAACTAAGGTCCATTAAGTACCTTAACATGTACATTCCACCACCAAATATCATAAAATACTTTAAAAAAGAATACCATACACGGGGCTGGAGAGATGGCTCAGAGGTTAAGAGCACTGGCTGCTCTTTCAGAGGTCCTGAGTTCAATTCCCAGGAACCACATGATAGTTTACAACCATCTGTAATGAGATTTGGTGCCCTCTTCTGGCCTGCAGGGATACATGCAATCAGAACACTGTATACATAACAAATAAACTTTAAAAAAGAACATCATACACAAATATTTCCTATAAACACTTATGCAAAAATTCCCAACACTAATAAGCAGTTCCACAAGATCAAAAAATTTGACTAATGCTAGAAGAATTGTAGCACATATGAAAAGGAACCCAATGTAGCCACATTACCACAATTACCTCAACTAATGCAGGAAGCTATTTGACAAAGTTTCACACACATAGCTTAATGATTAAAAATCAAACTCTGGGTGTTGGAGAGACAGCTTGGTGGTTAAGAACACTGGCTGCTCTTGCAGAGGACCTTGGGTTCAATTCCCAGTACCCACAGTGGCTCACAACTGTCTGTAACTCCAGTTCCAGGAGTTACATGTGGCATATGTATACAAGCCAGCAAACACTCATACACATAAATATGAATAAATTATTTATAAAAATCAAACCCCCAAAACTAGGAATTTGAAACAAAACTTCCTGTTCTCATAATAGGTATTTATGAAGCTCCCACAAAGTTACCCACTTTACATGCCTATTCAACGTTATATTAGAAGCTCCATTTACAGACTAGGCTTACATACCAGGCAAGAGAAAAAAGGCACCCAAACTAAAAACTTTTTGGTAGATGACTAAAATGCTATAAATAAAACCCACCAAAATATATTAGCACCAACAAATCAACAAGAAACGGAAGATAACAAAACTATTATGTTAAAAAAATCAGTTGTAGATGGTTATTTAGACTGGCAATGCATGTATAAGTTCAGAAAACAATTTCATTCATAATAGCATTAAAGTAAAACATTTAGGTATGTTTAGGGAGTAACACAAAACTTTACATGGGAAGTACAAATCTAGCTGAAAATTGAAAAGAGCTAAAATATACATCTTACAGTCATTAGAAGACTTAAAATACTAAGATGGCAATACTCTTCAAGACATTCCTATTGAAAACCCCAAAAGCCTTTTTACAGAAATGTGAATTCCTGCTAGAGTTCACATAGAATTGCAAGTGACCCAAGTACACAAAATCATCTCAAAAAGTAAAAACAAAGTTGGAACTCATGCATCCTGACTAAATCTATTACGGAGCTACAGTAATCAAAACAGTATAATACTACCATAATGCTTCAACATATAGACTCAGCTGGGTGTAGTAGTGCACACTTTTAATCCCAGCACTTGGGAGGCAGAGGCAAATCAGACAGGGCTACATAGTGAGACTCAAACCAGGGGGAAAATCCTAAACAAACACAAACTAAGTCAACCAAACCAAACCAAAAAACTGAGCATTAAAAGCCAAACCTGACAACTTGAGTTCAATCCCTGGTATCTATCTACAAGGTGGAAGGAGAGAACAAACTCTTTTTTTTCCCTGAGAGAGGGTTTTACTGTGTAACAGCCTGTGTATCCTGGAACTCACTCTGTAGACCAGGCTGTCCTCGAATTCAGAGAGATCCACCTGTCTCTGCCTCCCTGAGTGTTGGGATTAAAGGCGTGCAAGCATGCACTATCACCACCTGTCAAGAATGAACTTACAATTGTCCTGACTCCCACCATGTGCCATGGCACATGCACACACACACACACACACACACACACACACACACATACACACACACACGTAATAAATACTTTTGTGCAAAGGATAGAAAAGAAATACAACTTTTTTTGTTGTTGTTTTTCGAGACAGGGTTTCTCTGTATTGTTTTGGAAGCTGTCCTGGAACTCGATCTGTAGACCAGGCTGACCTCGAACTCACAAAGATCCGCCTGCCTCTGCCTCCTGAATGCTGGGGTTAAAGGCGTTGCACCACCAATGCCCCGCAAAAGAAAGACAACTTTTAACTCGATAAAATATTAGCAAACTATTCTGTTTGATAAGAATCTAGTATCTGAGCCAGGTGGTGGTGGCTTATAATTTGGTAACAAAAGGGACAATCCTATATGAAAATGGCCAGTGTGGAGACCAGTGTAGAGTCATTTAAGAGAAAATAAGCTATAAGAGGTGAACAGATGATATTCAAAATTATTAGGTAGTAAGGAAATAAAATCCCAAACTGTCATGAGCCCACTTCACATCAACTAGGATGGCCGTAAGACAGCAGAAAACACCATACACTGATGAGGCTGCAGAGAAACTGGAACTCAGTCGTTTAAAGGTTTCTTACAAAGTCCAGAACAGAATCACCATGTAACTCAGCAGTTTCAGTCTGTGTGTACTCTCAAGATTGTGAAACAAGGAAGTAAACAAGTGAACTCAAAAGTGGAAGCAACCCAGATGCTTAACAACTACTTTCAACAAACCATATGACCTATGTAACATATATGCATATGTACCTATGTATACACAAACACACACACACATATATTTCAGTTATAAAACAGAATGAGTACCTGATATGTACATGGATGAGCCTTGTATCGTGCTAAATGAAAGAAACCAAACCTAAGTTAAGATTCCAGTGATCTAAGAAATGCAGAGTAGGCAAATCCAGATAAAGGAGTTACTGATTTCTGTGGGCTGGGTAGAGGAGGAATGGAAAATAACTGCTGAACTTCCTTCTGGGGTGATGAAAATGTTCTGAAACTACAGAGTGATGATAACTGCACAACCCTGAACACACTAACGTCTCATTGGATTATCCTAAAATGGCTAGTGGGGTAAATTTTACTACAATAGAAAATTAAAAATAAAGTCAGGAGAGATATTACTACAGGAATTAGCAGGTGAAAAGATGGTTTTGTAGCTTGTAAAACTATTAAGTTCTAATGTGTCTAATGGTATACTTTTTGTATTCTCTAGCAAATAAAAATGTTTTATAAAATTGGTTTTTTATTGTGCTAGACATTACTTCTAGATATTAAGTGGATAGTGTTCATTCAAAAGAAGAAACATACTAATAGCAGGAAGAAAAAATAATTGAACAAAGTATATGATTTGAACCAGATAACTATTCCAATGTAACACAGGGTGTTTGGGCTTTTTTATGCTTTTCAGACAGGATTTCACTATGTAGCTCTGGCGAGCCTGCGACTGACAAAGAGATCCACCTGTCTCAGTCTTCCAAGTGTTGAGATTAGTGATATGAGCCAACTACACCTGACCTAAAGCAAGGCTTTTGCAGGCAACTGGCAAAATTCCTTAGTGAAGCTTTAGAAAAGGACACGTTATAAAGTGTAACTGCACAAAGTCCTATACCCTTGGGTCCTTCTTTTTGTTGTTTTGCTTTTTGAGACAGGGTTTCTCTGTGTGGCTTTGGACACTGTCCTTGAACTCTCTTTGAAAACCAGGCTGGCTTCGAACTCACAGAGATCTGCTTGCCTCTGCCTACAGAGTGCTGGGATTAAAGGTGTGCACCACCACTGCCCCTCGACTTGGGTCCTTCTTAACAAACTCTTTTGGGAATTTCAAGTGAATGAGAGAATGAAATATGCAACATTTTTCCATTTGCAACATTAAACAGTGTGGCTATTAAAACAGACAAAAATCATACAACTAATGATGTCTGGAACAAGACATGGTAGTACACAGCTGTAATCCCAGCACACAGAGCCCAAGGCAGGAAGATTCCAAATTCAAGGCCAGCCTAGGAAATGCAGCAAGACTATGTCTCAAAAGGAGAAAAAAGACTTACGGGTACTAGGATAGAAAAAAGTAACTTGTCAACCTTTTAGATATGCATGACTACATGGAATAAACTGATTTCCTCTCCTGTACAAACACACATGTGGTAAAAAGTCTATGGAAAGATGTCATGTTAGGACCATTCAGCAGACTCAGGAACTGAGTTAGGAAAACATCGAGTAACATCTGTGACAGTATGTTGTTCAGAACAGAAACGATTAACAAAATATCAAGCATTGTAATGAAATAAGCACCACCGCTTCTCCTCCTTCCAACTTCAATCTAAATTATTTCTATATTGACATGATGAAACTGCTGACTTTTACAGTCTGACTGAAAGACTGTTTACACTTGTGCTTGATTTTTCTAAAGTGGCAATAATTGTCTACTTTGAGAATGCTGGGAATCTTACTATATACCCTCTTCCACATTATCTCAAAACTATCAACAAATAACAAAGAAAGCATAAAATACTGAATGTGAACTGTCAAATGTGAATTAGGGGAGTCATTAGGAAGATTTTGTTTTCTAGCTTTATAATTTTCTCACAATATTTGGAGTTTAAAAATTTTCCCCAGAAACTTTTTTTAAATAAACGTTTTATTGGAGAAAAATAGAACCACCACATACACAGGGGAAAAAAAAGCACAAAAATTCAACTGATACAGAACAACTGAAATTCAATTAACCAATGTAGCTTGCCATTGCTTTTCAGTTTCTTAAACAGCTTTCCTTAAGTCTGGCTAGTTTTTCAGCTGAAACAGCATCAAACTGTCAAAGAAATAAGAACCTCAGGAAAGGGACCCGCTTTCAAGATAATGAAGATGGTATCAAGAGCCTCCTAGTAGGAACAACACTACCTAAAAGTTTTTAAGAGTAGCTAGTGAGTGGTGTAATAGTCTCCATATCCCAGAGACCAACGGGGATGAATTAGAACACTGATGTTGACAGTCAGGTAAACATAATAACAGCCACATTTATTTCCTTGTCAGAAGAGCTCCTGTAAAGAATCAGGAAGGAGCTGGACAAAAATATACGAAATAGCTGCTCAAAAACAATTGGGATGCTAATTCTAAATACTATATATAGTCAAACAGTGTGCAAGTTGATGCATTAGAGAAAAATGGGCAACTTAAAAAAATACAGCTGGCCACAGGTCTTTGAAAATTCAAGAAAATCACCAATAGTAGACATAAGAGCCCCAAGTCTCCTAAGCTGAACATTCAGGTCTAAGCAGTCCCCCTAATGGCTCCAGAAAGACAAGGAAATATGCTGGTGGACAAAGCACTGAAGAAGTTCTACTTTAAAATGAACACTAAAAACTATCTGCTTCTCTCTGGCAACCAATTCCTTTCATAGAAAAAGAAACCAGGAAGCAAAGCAAAAACCTCTGGTGATGAAGAGAGGTCTTTTACTCACATTTTGAATTTGAAGAACAATACTTTTGTTATTCTGTGTGCGAATAATTTGGGGACATGTTCCTGAAAAGCAGGTGTCCAGTGGCTATGAGAACTCTTAAATTCAAGCAATTAAAAAAAGAATACAGACCCTGAAGTTTTCGAATAGGGAATATGTAAGGGAGAACCACATGTAGAGTTTCTCCAAGTCAGGAGGGGGATGAAAGCAAAAGCTTTGTTTACCAACAAAGATAAGAGATGCTTCCAAAAAAAACCCCACTTCAGTAGAAAAAAACTGGAATGCAAATCCCAGGAAGCCTCTAACAATGACAATTGGCCCAAGTTAAAGATAAAACGATCCAAACAACATTTAAAGACTGAAGCATAATGAAAAGTAGCTGGTGATTTTGCTTCTGTAAATTACAGAACAGGTTGATTTCTGTCTCCTGTGATTTTCATACTGCATTCGTTTTTAATAAAAAGAACTGAACTTCTCCCTCTTAATGATGTTCTAGTACAAAATGATCAGCAATTTTTTCTATCTTATCTATTTTAATAAGTAGCTGTTAATCAGCACAGTAAATTTGGGGCTAAGTCATATGTACACATCCCATACTCATAAATGGAAACCTTTAGGATGTGAATATGTAAGGTATTATGGAAGTAACTGTCGCCCTACTTGAAAAACCTGTTTCCAAATAAGGTTTCTTAACCAATCCCTTCAGTGTAACAGAATGCCAACAGAATGATAACTTATTTTTCTTTCCAAGAGAAACCACAAAACGGGTGAACAACCAAGTCCAGGGTGGTTTTTCTATTCATAAATACATCCAGAACTCTGTACAGTAAATAAAGTTTGCATGCAGTTTAAGTATCTTTAGGTGACTTTTAAGCAAATAAACCTTTTGCTTCATTGATGATGTATAAGAATTCCCCTCCCCCTTTTAAGGGCCACAGGGGTCTCTTCCCCAGTTCCAAAAGGAATCATGAAGACCGGGTACTTTCTTAGAGTTTTCTGCACATCATACTAAATAACATGCAAAGAGTTCAACAACATTCTTCTTAAAGGTTAGGTATTACTCTTTAAAATGGGCATGTTAACCACTGAGAAAAGTCCACGGAACTATTTCCATTACACTGCTTCATTTGGTCATCAGAAGTATAAAAGAAGTCAAATAATATGAGATTCAACAAGTTAGTTTATCCATTGGCTACGTCATATGACAACAAATGTTTCAAGGCCAACATTTTATGCAATATAGTTGTACTGATTTGGGTTTTCTTTATCTCTTTCCATGTAGTCCCGGTCAATTAGGGATTCTATTCTCTTCTTTAGATCTGCAGGCTGCAAGAGAAAACATGTTTTCAATGCAAGGTTCGTAACATCAGCATAAGACCATTTACCAACATTCCATCAAAAAAAGAGAACAAAGGCCAGAAGAATCACACAGAGGCAGGCAGATCTCTGTGAGTTTGAGGCTAGCCTAGTCTACAGAGAAAGTTCCAGGAGAGACAGAGCTACATAGTGAAACATTGTCTTTAAAAAAATGAGGGGCAAGTGAGAACCAAAGCAGGTGTTGTGGCATCTGTCTATAACCCTAGCTCAGGAGGATGAGGTGGGAGGACAAGTTTAAGGGTGGCCTGGACCTTGTCAACCAGATCCTGTCTTAATCCCTAATCAAGATGCACACACCACACACACATATTATACTATCATACTTCTATTATATCTCTATGTAATATTTCCTCCTACTTTATTTTTAATGACTTTTTTGACATTTATTTTTATGTATATGGGGGTGTTTTGCTTGCATGTTTGTCTGTGTACCACATGTGTGCAGTATCCATGGAAGCGAGAAGATGTATTACCCATCACAGATACTAGGAATCAAACCCAGGTCCTCTAAAAGTACAGCCAGTGCTTTTTTCTTTCTTTCCGGGTTTGTTTGCTTTTTTTCTGTAGACAGGGTTTCTCTGTATAGGCCTAGCTCTTCTGGAGTTCACTCTATAGACCAAGCTGGCCTCAAACTCACAGAGATCCTCCCAAGTGCTGGGATTAAAGGCGTGCACCACCAATACCCTGCAGTCAGTGTTCTTTACTGCTGAATTATCTCCCCAACCCTACCCTTTTATTTTAAAAATGTGTTCTGAGAACCATATATCTTCTATAAAAATAAAAAAGACTTGAACTCATAATTTCATACAGAACATATTCTAGTTTAGAGAAAGAATGCTATTTAGTTCAGTTAAGATACCTTGGAATGACAAGTACATCATTAACAAAAGGCAAAAGCTAGTTCTCTAGTTTTTGTTTTTTGGTTTTTCGAGACAGGGTTTCTCTGTATTGTTTTGGCACTGGCACTTGCTCTGTAGACCAGGCAAGCCTCGAACTCACAGAGAGTTCTCTGCCTCTGCCTCCCGAGTGCTGGTATTAAAGGCATGCCCCACCAATGCCCAGCTTTCTAGTTTAATAAATTGAAGTTTAAAACATGGCTGCGCCAAGAATTGTTGTGCATACTTTTAATTGTAGAACTCAGGAGGTAAAGGTAGGCAGATCTCTGTGAGCCTAAGGCAGCCTGGTCTACACAGTGAGTTCTTGGACAGCCACAGTATCATGGCAAGACTCGAATTAAGACCCAAGTCTCAAAAAAAAAAAGCTAGGTGGTGGTAGCAACTGCGGTGGTGGTGCACGCCTTTAATCCCAACACTCGGGAGGCAGAATAAGTGGGAAGCCAGAGGCAAGAGGATTGAGAGCAAGACTTACTTGGGCGTACACAATAAGACACTGTGTCTATAGACAAATAACAAAAAATCTGAAGTTAAGTAACAATTAACAAATGAATTTTAACATGTATGATAATTTATTATATAAACTATATAAAATACTAGATCTAGTAGCATAGGCCTATAATCCCAGCTACTTGGGTGGATGAGGAATGGAGACTGTTGACTTCAAGAAGGTTGGCAAAACAAAAGTGGGGGTGAGGGTGGATGAGTTTTTTTCTTGGTAGTACAGCACTAACCAGCATACGTAAGGGGGGGGGGGGGGCAGTGGTGGCGGCAGTGGCACATGCACACTTTTAATCCCAGCACTTGGGATTAGAGTTTGAGGCCAGCCTGGTCTACAGAGTGAGTTCCAGGACAGCCTCCAAAGCTAGAGAAACCCTGTCTCAAAAAACCAAAAAAGCAAAAGAGAAAAATAGATAGGGAAATAAAATTCCATTTAATAACCCTGAGATTTAAATATCAAATGGCTTTGGTTTCATTATAATCAATGTTATAGTGAGTGATCTCTTTCATTCCAGCATCAGCAAGCGCTCTTGCTGGAGATGAAATGATTAGGTGAGCATGTGAGCAAGTGTGGTAATGAGAAGGTAGTTTGAGGTTTGAAGAAGCAGCCTACCTTATTAGAAGTAATAGCTACTACATACCTACATAAATACCAAACTTAATACTAAGTGTTTTGTGCTTTCCATCTCAGTTGAGCCTCAAAATAACAGTATGAGGGGGCTGGAGAGATGGCTCAGGGGTTAAGAGCATTGGCTGCTCTTCCTAGAGATTCTGAGTTCAATTCCCAGCAACCACATGGTGGCTCACAACCATCTGTAATGAGATCTGTTGCCCTCTTCTGGTGTAAAGGTATACATGCAGAGAGAGCACTCATACATAAATTAATACATCTTTAAAAAATAGTTGAGCTAAGTATGATTATCAATTCCAAACAAGCTCAGCAAGATTAAATGCCCCATCAAAATCCAAAGCTGCTAGTAATCCTAACAGCCTATGCAACTTCTACCAAATGTTTATTATTACAAAAGTTTAGAAATCTTTTAAAATTTGGAATAGTCCAGTATAGTACCTCACTGTCTAAATGCCTTTATTACTGGACATTTGTATTGGAACATGCCAATACACTGACAAATTTCAGTTTACTAGAACTATTATTAGACATTTTCAAAAGACACTAAAACAACTTTACCACTAAAATACACCCAGCAGCATCTGTAACAGATTTGAGGAAACATTTGTAAGGTAACCAAAGAAGATATAACTCAATCTCATAACCAAATATGTCAAACACCAAGTTACCTCCAGAAAAGAAGATTCAAAAGATACACAGTGAATTAACTTCAAATTTTTCAAAGCCACATTTACTCACTAAACTTTAGAGTACAGGGAGAGGCTTTTGTAAATTGTTTCCCCAACTTATCACAGTCGTATACATATACCAACAATACTCTTATGTGAATCGTATGTATGACTATAGGAAATAAATACATGTCCTTCCAAATGGCTTTAAGCCTTTTATCTATATTTGCAAGATTAATGTCTAAAAATCAAATGTATTTTTTCATTTATAACAAGTTCAGTATGGAGACTCAGAAACACCTACTTTTACTGGAAATTTTAGCTGATTGTAGACCTCTGAAACAAGAAGATTGTGGCTAAGTGTTTTCCTCATCTTCATAATTCGGACAATCGCAGCATCAATTTGGTATTGTCTATCTTGAAATACTCTTTCTGTAGTGCTTGCTTGTTCTTCAACCTAAAAAGAGTTTTCAAATGAAGTCAAACTTAATTATTAACACAAACTGTATACTAGGGACTTAACAGTGATACATAAATGGGACCTTATAAATAAAGAAACAAGAGAAAAAAACTTGACAAATATAGGGCCTTTCTGTTCCAATCAGACTGCTCTGTACCAATAAATCAATGACTATACAGGTTAAGAAAAAAGATACCACCTTTGAGGACTGGGGAGATAGACTCAGTTGACCAAGTCCCTGCCCACAAGCATGAGGACCTGATTTTTAAATTTAGATTTTCATGAACTCATGTAAAAACAGATTCCTGGAACTTAATACCTAGCCAGCCTAACCCAGTTAGTGAGTTCCAGGCAAGTAAGAGACCATGATAAGAAACAAGGTGGATAGCTCCTAAGGAATGACACTGGAGGTTGTTCTCTGGCTTCCCCTAAAATTTAAAATGTTCATAGTGTTGATCCAAAAGTTTACTTTCATGAATTCATCTTAAGGAAAAGATCAGAGGTTAAGATTTAGACACAGAACTTTTTTAGAACAGTTTTAATGGTCATGTACAAGAATATTATGTAGCTATTTAGCATTTTATTGGTTTTTAAAACAGCGTTTTTCTGTAGCTTTGGAGGCTCTCCTGGAACTCACTCAGTAGACCAGGGTGGCCTTGAACTCACAGAGATCCACCTGCCTCTGCCTCCCCAGTGCTGGGATTAAAGATGTGAGCCACCACTGCCTAGCTGCACATAATAATTTTTACTCTGTAAATTTCTACTATAAACACATATAAACCTAATATAGTAGGAAGAGAGAGCAAAAGGCTTACCGTTTCTTTCATTTGGATTTGATTGATCTTTATTCTGAATAGTTTGTGTTTGAAATCGTCATTACAAATGAATTTGTCACCATCTTCGATATCTTTGCCTTTTGGATTTTTAGTCAGAACTCTAGCTTTGCCACAGGCTAGGGATTGCAGTGTTCTCCTTAATTCTCCATCCTCTGAAGAAGAAATAATGGTTAGTCATTTATTTGTTAGTAGCCTGTAGAACACTACATCCAACATCAATTTAATTTATATACATTCTCCATTAAACTGTTTTTCCCAAAGGTCATCAACACCTGCTCTTTGTGCTATCCAATAACATATTTTTCTAGTTGTCTTCTTTTTTTTCTAGTTGTCTTCCCAAAGCATGCAGACAACTATTAAAATTTCTGATGCAACATTCCCCTTCTCTCAAGTCAATCACTAAAAGGACACACCATTTGGCTGTTTTATTATCACTCCAGTATGTTGTATTCTCCATTAACTCTCTCCTTCATTGCTACTGATGATACTACTACTAACCTAATCCAATGAAAACCCCTAGACTCATCTTTTAAATCTTCCTTCTCCTTCATTCTGCTATGGCTCTAGTAATTCCATTGCTGTTGGAATCATTTTACCAGAAGCCCCTTAGGACTTTATGTCAGAATTATCTCTACAGTTTCTAGGCTAGAATCTTTCCCTGTTCCAGGTGGCTGGCCCTATTAATGCCAGGTAAATTGTTCAAATAGGTTATTTCCTTTAAGTCACTATAGCACAGGTTTCAGCTATATTCTTCAGTCTATTTATACATGTTACCATTCTAAGCTATAAACATTTCGTGCTTCTGACTTACACTACTCAAGCCTTTTCTCACACTATTTCCTTTATTTCTTTCATATGCCTTCTCTCCAACCAAAATTTGAAGGCCTAATTCAAGTCCCACTCCCTTCCACAATAATCTCTTGCTTCTCATAACACACTTCTTGTTAGCACTGCATATTGGTACTTACTGGTTTTGACATTATTAAGAATACAGAGGAGAAGTCGGGCAGTGGTGGCACACACTTTTAATCCTAGTACTCAGGAATTCACTCTGTGAATTCAAGGCCAGCCTGGTCTACAAAATGAGTTCCAGGACAGCCAGGGCTGTTATACAGAGAAACCCTACCTTGAAAACCAAAACAAACAAAAGAATACAGAGGAGGCGGCTGGAGAGACATGTCACCACTGAGGAGTACTTCCTGGTCTTTCCCAAGACCAGATAGATGTCAGTCCCCAGCTCCTACATGGTGACTCACAACCACATAATTCAAGCTCCTGGGCATACAATGTCCCCTTCCAGCCTTAACAGGTTCCTACATGTGTGTTATACATATACTTACACAAGCTCACAACATGCACATAATTAAATGAATGAAACGTTTTTTAAAAAAGAATACAGGGCTGGAAAGATGGCTCAGAGGTTAAGAGCACTGCATGTTCTTCCAGAGGTCCTGAGTTCAATTCCCAGCAACTACATGGTGGCTCACAACCATCTATAATGAGATCTGATGCCTTCTCCTGGAGTACAAGCATGTACACAGATTAAAAAAAAAAGAGTACAGACGAAAGGATTACTTCCTTGGATCTCCCAGAGCTCTAAACACAGATTTAAAAAAAAAAGAGTACAGACGAAAGGATTACTTCCTTGGATCTCCCAGAGCTCTAAACACAGTGACCACACAATTGCTTGCTACTTGATGGATGCAATACAAACCTATCCCAGTAGCTTGCTTGATGTCTTCTAAACTGAATTCCTCCCCTTCATTAAACATTAGCAGCACCAGGGTTTGAAAAAGAGAGACCTGAAGTTCTTTTTTGCCCTGTTAGAGAAAAAAACAAACATTAGCCTGTTTTTAAAACAAATGAAAAATTAATCAAAAAATATTTCTTAAAGGAAAAACATTTTTAATTAGTGAGTTAAGAAGCACAGATCAAGATTATTCAAAACCCTTCTTCTGGTGGCAATAAATTGTGCAGTTTGAGGTTTAGGTATGATTCCATAAAAATGAGGTGAAGGATTAGCCTATTAATAGGTTTTTTAAATAATCCTTATTAAAACAGAACAAAGTAATGAAAATAACTCAGTCCTGGGTATCATTATAAATAATCAGCAGAAGTAGCAAGAAATTACTATTCTGAACGCATTTTTCTAGGCAGGGTTTCATGCAGCCCAGGTTAGACTTACTTGCTTTATAGCCAAGTTATGTCCTTGAACTCTGCAAGGATTACAACCCTGTGACACTATGCCCTGGTTTCAAATGTATTTTGACTTTGTTAAGATCAGCACTCGAGAGGCAGAAACAGGCGGATCTGTGAGCTCAAGGCCAACCTGATCTACAAAGTGAGCTCCTGGACAGGATCCAAAGATATACAGAGAAACCCCGTCCCAAAAAAATCAAACAAAAACAATCAATAATGAACAGCTGTAGGATTTTTTTTAAAAAGATGGGCAATGTTTGGCTTAATCTCCCACTCTGTTATCTAGCTTCCAGTAACTTGATTTCTGACAAGACAGCGTGAAGTCTGCATCCACAGGTAGAGAAAGACTACTGTTTTTAATGTTAGAGAAAGGCCAACTCAATTGTTGAAAAGGTGACCATCTTAAAAAACATAGAAAGCTGTAACAAACTACCACTGTTGCCATGTGGTATCAAGGTCACACTTATTATTTTTTCCTTTCCAATCTCATTTCCCCTCCCCTCCTCTTCTCCCACTCTTCCCAAGGTCACACCTACAAAACAGCAGCTTGAACCTTCAAAACAATGGACATGACTCCCATATTAAAGATGAAGGAAGAAATTAAGAAATCAACTAAGTTTTGGAAATCTCCACTTACCTCTTTAAATTCAGCTTTTAGTACACAGTGTCCCAAGGTTGACTGCCACTGGAGTTTCCTGCCACTGTGTTTGCCTAAGTAAAATGTCTTGAAAATTTCCTGAAGCTTTACCATCTAGAACAAATAAGTGTTTCTTTAAGCTTCATATGTAATACCACCTTCAGCACTTTTTTACTTCTTTATTGGATGTATGAGGTAGAGTGTGTATGCCACAGTATGCTTGGGAAGGTCAGAGGACAACTTTCAGGAGTCAGCTCCCTCCTTCCATTTTGTGGGTCCTGGGGATTGAACTACAGTCGTCAAGCTTTGGTGGCAAGTGACTTCACCCCTGGGCAACCTCAGTGACCTCCCTCTCACCACTCTTAACCCCATCTGAAATCACTCGTGATAGCCTTCATGAGTATGCACTAGGCAGTGATGACTTTAATGCTTGGCTATCTTTATAACCTTCCAGCTCTTCTGCCCTGTGCAATCATTCCTTCACCTCTGGTGACTCGGACTTCTACACTCTACTGACTCCTTTCTCTCACTGCTGCTTCTGACCAAGTTTCTTTTGTAGGTTGCTCTTCTTACATCTGCTAAATGTGAGCCTTTCTAAAGTTCAAGTTCTGCCCTTTCTCTTCCTCTTCACCATACTCTTCCCTTTCTGAGGGAAGGGAACATCAATGATACTATCCACAGAGAACTCTCAGTATCTTTCTCTAGTCAACCTTCTAGAGGCTTTGGTCCTGAGTAGGACAGTTTCCAAGGCATTAGGGGACACTCATGTTTCCATCATATTCACCAGTCCTGCCTTCAGGTGAAATATGGGCAACAGAGTCATAAGCTAAGAAACAGAAAAATAATTGGGAAAAGAGCCCTAAATTTTGAGACCTACCTTCGTTAATGTGCAAGTGGACTTGGAAATTGAAGTAAAAGAATAAAATATTTACACTCATATTTTGTTGGTTTCTTTGCTGACATAAGCCTTTAAAAGGTTATGTCAAATGAAAAGCAAAAAAGGGGGATTTCTATGCCTATAGCTCAGATAGGAAACAGATAATCTTACCTCTGGTGGCAAATGGACTTCCATAGGCACATATGTTGGCCAGTAACCCATTGTCAGGATATTCACAGTTAATTCAATATTGCCAGGTACATTCTGGTTCTGCATATACTATAAAAAGATCAATGCATACACTGAGATTACAAAAGTGTACATGTCTACCATAACATTGACTCATTTAAGAATTTCCTTATTCTAAAAATGTATGTGAATACTAACCATCCTGAAATTAAAGGCAACTAACTATTAAGACTTGAAATGAAGGTTACACAAAATGCAGTAGAAAAAAATACACAGGTGGCTATTTTGATACAGAAGCATATAAAATCCTATAAAAACCATCCTAGGCATTATTAACTCAACTTCTCACATATACCTGGGACGTTATAGCATCTCTTCTCCATTCTTTCCCCCAATGCTACCTGTAGTCCCCACCTTTGGAGACCCCTACATGGATTGGAACACCTTGCAGCAACTCCCATTCCTCACCCCACCAGCCAGCCCAAGTCTCAGGTTTTTCAACTGCTCCATTCCCTGTTTGAAGGTGGTGACCTGAAGTGGGAAAGGAAGAAGAAGGGGAAAGGGCAAGGCAGATAAATCCTATCCTGCAGCTCCTGTAAGATCCATGATCCTACTGACTCCTAACTTTCTCTAGTCCTTCAAGTTCAATTTACCACCTTCGATACAGTGGTCAAGAAATCATTACTGAAAATGCAATGCACCATCACTATTGCCTAGGTGTTGTTGCTACTGCTGTCTGAGACAGGGTCTCACTCTATTGCCCATGTGTCATTATTTCAGCATCTAAAGCAGCTAAGACTGCAGTTATAAAAACCATATCTATCCATGTCTTCAAAACTACAGCTCCAGTCTCTCATCCCATATGTCCATAGAAATATTATATACCACCACCCCACCTTTTATCACCTCACCTCTCTCCCATTACAAGCTCTGAACATACAAACAAATATTCCAACCAATTAGATGTCAAAAAAACCCAATCTTACTGTCTAGTTATAATTCTTCTTATATGAACTTTAGTCTAACACATTTACTTATATTTCAGTCTTCTTCTAGGTGCTTACTAAGACTAAATCCTGAATCTATATATTCAATATAGACTGACACAAAGATATAACTTAAATATCCTTAAGTTCAAAGATTTTGTAAGAGTTTAACTCACTTTTACCTGTTTGAACTGGATCATGATGTCTTTAGAAAGCTCCATGTCTTTAAACATCCCTTCAAGCTTGCTGGTGAATGCAGCTCCACATTCTATCAAAGATGTTTGGATATTTATAGTAGTTTAAGGAAGTACAAAGGATTTAAAAATCAAAACATAAAATACAAATCTTACTTGGGCATAAAATATGACTATAACTATTGGTAAGAATGAAAAGATTCTTACCCCACCCAGCCCAGTGTGTGCCCTACAATTTCAGAAGGCAAACTCTTGAATCATATAGCAACCTTATCTACTTACAGGTATATTTGGGAACTTCTTATACAAACAAACAGAATAATAATGTTATCTTTAAAAAAGCCAATGACTGTGGAAATCCAACAAGAAACTAGGACCCTCATAAGCTCACTTAATTTATGGGTTTGGGGGGAGGGTCAGGACATATGTGTACAGATATCCATTCATGCATGTAGAAGCCAGAGGATATTGGCTGAATTGATTTACCACATTCTGTTTTATTCCTTGTACAGGATGTCTCATTGAACCTAGAACTAGGCTGGCATCCAGGAAACCCAAGAGATTCTCCTGTCTCCCACCCTCACCCAACCCCTAGCGCCACCGGGGTTATACACATAGACATGATCTTTTTACATGGGTGCTGGGGATTTAAGCTCAGGTCCTCATGCTTGTACAGCAAGAGCTCTTACCCACTGAGGCATCCTCCCCATCCCTTCAGTTTACATTTTTATCATCTGTATCATCATGTGCATATGAAATGATCCACAAACAAAGCAATCAATGAAAATAGTACAATTAACCCAACATTTCCCTCAAATATTACAGAAAGGAAAATTGAAATAAAAAAGGAAAGAAAATGGCAAACATACCATGTTTCAGTTTGGACAGCATCGATTTTTCAGCATCTACAGATGCACTCTTACCAACTAATAGGCGTTTGGCTAAATCTTTCTTATAGAAGGCCTCAAAAACATCTTTGCCTATATTAAATAAAAAATAGAACTCATGATATGCCAAGTAAAGTTGTATTGGCTTCAAAAAGCTTAATCACAGTACCTCAAATTATTTTATTTTATACATTTTATTCAAGTTTATTAAACTCAAGAACACTAGAGGTCTATGTCAGTACCAGACATTTGAAAAGTTCTTTACTGTAAAAAATTAAGACTGTATTAACTTTTCTTCAGAAAAAAAAAACACTTTAGTACACAGGCACTGTTAGCACCAAAACTCAAGAGATTAAAATAAGCAGCAAAATCCAGGTTAATAACAGTGGAAAGGTCAAACCGTAAGGTAATTTAGTGACGTTCCTGAACTATTCCTTTTTTCCCTTTGGTTTTTCAACACAAGGTTTCTCTGCATAACAGCCCTGGCTGTTCTGGCACTTGCTCTGTAAACCAGGCTGGCCTCAAACTCTCACAGAGATCTGCCTGTCTCTGCCTCCCCAGTGCTGGGATTAAACGTATGCACCACTACTGCCCATCTTCCTCAACTATTTTTCTAAAAAAAATACTTATTTATTTTATGTGTATGAGTAACCTGTCTTCAAGAGCACCAGAAGAGGGCACCAGATCTCATTATAGATGGTTGTGAGCCACCATGTGGTTGCAGGGAATTGAACTCATGACCTTTGGAAGAGCAGTTAGTGTTCCTTAACCACTGAGTCATTTCTCCAGGCCCTTCCTCAACTATTTTTTTTTTTTTGGTTTTTCGAGACAGGGTTTCTCTGTATTGTTTTGGAGGCTGTCCTGGAACTCACTCTGTAGACCAGGCTGGCCTCGAACTCAGAGATCCACGTGCCTCTGCCTCCCAAGTACTGGGACTAAAGGTGTGCACCACCAACACCCAGCTCCTTAACTATTCTTAAGGAATTAAAAATATGCAATGAATAAAATGCAACCTCTAGTTCCCTAACAGTCTCTCCAGGTTATAGAAACATTTCTAGTTTCTCTAGGGGTACTTTATTTGTTTTGTGTTTTGCTTGTTTGTTTCGAGACAAGACCTTGCTATGTTGTCCCAATTGGTCTGATACTCACTATGTAATCTGTACAGCAATGATGCCTCAGCCTCCCTATTTCTAGATTACAGATACCTACACCACTATGCCTGGCTCAGAGTGCTTTGTTTTAAAAGAAAAACATGAAAGCAGTAATCAACACTTACCATAGATAAATCTAAATATAATCATTATTTTATCCAACATTTTCTCAAGCTCTTCGTCTGTAGCTTCTTTGTTGCCTGCACGAAGTTTTGAATCCACATACTTAGCTAAAATAGAGAAAAAAACGGTTGTTTAGTGACCATAGGTGTCTAAAAGGTACTGACTACTACATATACTCAAGCAGGACTATAAAATACTCTTCAGTATTTCTACTATATGTATATGCATTTTATAAGTCTCCAATATAAGAGAGATCAAGTTAACTTGTCAATGTCATAGGGATAACAAATACTGCAAGCTAAAAGCATTAAGTCTGACTCAAGCTTCCTGGTATAATGATATCAAAATGGAGTATAGAAGGACTACATATGTAGCTCTATGGTAGAGTACTTGCCTAGCGTGTACAGGGCTCTGGGTTCAGACCCTAGTACTTCAAAGTTGAGAGAGAGGAGAGAGAGATAGAAGAGAGGAGAGAAAGACATAAAATGAAGTACAGACAAGCTCATGGCGGAGGCTCCAACTAGCTCTGTGTAGGGGTAAACAAAGTCACCAGAAAACATTGATATCCTCTAAAGTTTCTGTTTTACATAGATGGTCAGCATTCTTTTTTTTTTTTTTTTTTTTTTTGGTTTTCCGAGACAGAGTTTCTCTGTATTGTTTTGGAGGCTGTCCTGGCAGTTGCTCTGTAGACCTAGCTCTGCTGGCCTCAAACTCACAGAGATTCACCTGCCTCTGCCTCCCAAGTGCTGGGATTAAAGGCATGCACCACCAAGGCCTGGCTCAATGGTCACCATTCTTAAACATTACTTTTCTATTTGACTAAATCAGAAACAATAGAGAAGAAGGCACAATTTATAAAATGTTTAAATGCAAACAAAATTTGACTTCAACCAAACCTGACTTCATCCTTTTGGCAGAGGACCTAATTCCCTAAGGGTACCAGTGCATGTGTAAGGAACCGTGACAAGCACTGTAACACATCTGTATATTTAGTAAGCCTATATCATTAGATTTATTTTCATCCTGGATTTTTTTATTCCTTGTCATTGCAAATTTCATGCTGGTCTTTTCCTGTAGCTGTAACTGGAGACCTTTAGAAAAATAGTACTCTGCCCCATTTCTAAATCACTATAGACTTAGAAAGCCCAAAATCAAGTTTACTCACTAAAAGTAAATAGGGTCCAATGTTCTATCTCACAAAGAATTTATGTCATGCTTGACATGAAGGCTTTGAGAAGCTGTTTAGCTAGAAGGGATTTATATCTTACATACATGTCCTTAGAGACACTCTTTCAGACTTGGTATTACTAGCTAAGCAACATCAAACAAACAAGATATAGGCATAATATGGTTTTATCTCAGAGTTTATCAATAAAAAACCATTACATAAACAGAAAAAGAATGTGAAACATACCTATCAGTTCAGCTGGTTTATTTGGTCTCTTATTAATGAATGTTTCAAATGCTTCTTTCATAGCATTGATAAATTTTTCATTTTTCAGAAAGCAGGTATCAATTATATGGTCAACTTTATCTTTAAAGTCCAACAGTTCTTGAACCATGGTTTTATCCTTTTCAGGATTAATAACAATAGTACTTCCAAAAGCCTGAAAATGAAAATGGTATAATGAAAATAATCAACAAATCATATTCTAAGTTGATACATGTATTTAATAATCATAAAAAAGGTATAGCTGTCTCCAAAGACAGATAATCTTCATTCATAAATACAAAAATTAATGACCACTGGGTATACGATATCATAATGGGGTGATATTATTAGACTCTAGAAGCTTTTCCTTATTGTTAAGAAAGTCAGATCTGTACTTTTAAAAATAGGAATGTGGTGAGGGAGGGAAGAATTTGTGGTTCAAACTTGTAAGAATAGACGCTAGCCTTTATCTTAACAAAATGGCTTCAGAATGCTAACAATCCTTTAATTTCCCATATTCACTGATTTAAATCTTATAGCTAGAAATCCCATCAAACATCACTCAAGTTTCATTGCTGACTGCAGCACAGCTTCTATTCTCAGGCTGATATTTCAATTTTTATTTTGTTTAATTCCTTCCTTTAAAATGCATCTAACAAGAAATGCTGATATTCTTGGTATGGAGATTATAAAACATTCAAGAGAAGCATTAAAGGGTAAACTGTTAATACCTTGATATACTCAATCCACTGCTGTAAGAGAACCTGAACTCCACCTCGAACTCGACTGAAGAGCTGATACAGGAGAGACAAATCTTGAATTCGGTTTTCATCAAGGAGGTTATTTAAACCTGGTTTGAAATATTTTGGCATTAAAATGTAGGAATCAAAGAGTAAATAAAATTGCCATGTATTTTAATAAAATGTAAGATGAAATTACTATTGTGACACACTGGTCTAAACTATAACTAAATTCAGTGCACCCTGGAAGAACACTAAGCTTTAGAAGTTCTTGGCTCTACATGCTAAGAACAACACACCACACACACATACCCTCCCCACACGCACACCAGTTTGAATTACAATGAGTAACTTCCTTTACTGTGTTCTTACATGTCCAAATTCCCCTGCTTTTGCTTTGTAGTACTGAGGATGAACTCAGAGCAATACACACACACGAAAAAGCTCTATCGCTGACCCATTCCACCCAGCCCAACTTCTTGACTGCTGTTAGTTAGTAGAACTCTCCTCTCAGTTCCACTTTCAGTCAGGAAACTGGTAACTACAGAACTACAGAAAGTTTATGACAAGGAATGGGAAAGGTTTGTCAGTCTTCAGAAATGAACTACATACTTACCAAGTTTTTGGTTTCCTCATTAAACTTTGTTGTAATGGGTCTCAAAATTCTTCAACTAACTTTTGGTGAAGCTGTTTTCATAAAACGATTTCAAGCGCTAAAAATCTTAAAACTGCTATACAGAAAACAATCCACAAAACACCTCCCTTTCCTTCTGATACTTAGCTATGATTAAGCAGTTTTTACTACTAATCTTAAATGGTCAACTGAGAAAAAAAGTTCTGAGACCATTCTTCCATCACTGATTAAAACTCTTTGAGTTCGAGTTCAGCCTGATCTACAGAGTGAGTTCTAGGACAGCCAGAGCTGTTACACAGAGAAACCCTCTTGAACCCACCCACTACAAAAAAAAGACTAGGGTGGTACATGTTAGATATAATATTCATTTAAACCTTTGGAACTTTCTGAGCAGACTTGATGGTGACCTTATCTAGTTTTTTCATTTAGATTTGATTAGTGTTTTTCCTGCATATATGAGCAGAATGCATGCCTAGTGCCCACAGAGAATAGAACATTGGCTCCACTAAAACTGGAATTTTGGATGGTTGGCAGCTGCCATGTGGGTACTGGGAATTGGAGTCCTCTATAAGAGCAGCAAGTGCCCTTATCCATCTCTCCAGCCCTAGTAATCTTTTATTTACAAGCTACCAATTACCTTTCTGAAGAATCGCTGTTAAGTGTTCACCTAGAAGTTGTTTTTCAACAGAAGCAATTAGTGACTTCCTAAAAGGGAAAACAGAATTATTGGAATTTAACCTTTTTGGAAATTTAAAGCTTCTAGAGAAAACAAAGCAAATATTTCATTTTACATTAATTTTGCCATTTCTATCCCATGTGTCAATTTAACACTGCTCAAGATTTATTCTATATTATACCTAGAGAAGAAAACTAATGTGTATTTTAGAATTGGCTCAAAGTAATGTTCTCCAAGGTCTTGCTGTGTCTACTTTTCTCCCAGTTTCTCTGCTTTTTACTAAGAAGGTAAAACAATTATATCTACACTGCTTAATGAACTTGGTTAGTAAGATTTAAAAAGTACATAAGCAGTTTCTCTCTTAACACCTACTCACTAAGGTTTAATCAGTGTAAAGGTTTTAAAAGCCGGGCATGATGGTACATGCCTATAATCCCAGAACTTGGGAGGCTGACATGGAGGACTGTGAGATCCAGAGCAGCCTGGGTTTTAGTGAAACCCTGCATCAAAAACGCAAAAAATGTTTAAAGATCAGCCTCTAATACCATTTTAAAATTATATACTAAACACACCCATCCAATAACCAAATCCTTGACTAAATCTAATTGACTAGGAAGGTAATAACTTGAAGTTCTCATTATGAAAACAACTGTTAATACTTACTGGGTGGTCTGATCTAAGTAAGTAATAAGTCTGTCTGCTTCTTCTTCTAGGCGTTTATTAACATGATGAAGATACTCAGGAACCTACAAAGATAGTTTTTTATATTATTGTTTTCCTCCCCTTAAATCACTCAGAAAATGTCAAGTCCAAAAGATCTGGGGAGCAGCCCCGTCAAATGTGACAGGGTAGAATCATAAGTAAAATTAGAGGTAGAATTTATGATCCAGAATTCTGGTCTTTAAGAAGAAAAGAAAAGAAAGGAGCACCTAAGTGAGAGAAGAGGATTACAATATTGGGAATATAAATACAAACGGAAGTTTGTGTTCTACAATGCAACGTCTACTGTAAGAGATAGTGGATTTCTTAGTCATGATTATTAAATACCTCTCTTTCTTGCATTAACTTTTGACCTTCAGCTGCATAAAGCCGGTTAGTTTCTTCTAAAAATCGCTGTTCAAAAGAGTCTTGGTAAATCTAGGAGAAGGGAAAAAACAAAAGCATTTGTTTACTCCTTAAATATTTACTGAATGTCTTCTATCTGAACTCTATTAGAACAGCACTCCATGGATTTCAAACATCAAACTAGAACAGTAATAAGATTTGTAGGCACTGCAGCGTCAAGTGTAACTTACTTGCAAATCAGACAGCATACTTAAAAGGCTTCGAAGTAAACTTCTGTCAATTGCTTCACCATTTCGCTCTCTCTCAATCAAGAGAAGGATGCCATCAATTGTTTTCGTCTGGACTTTTTGATCACTTATAATATGAGCCCTAAATAACTCTAATCCCATGTCCCTAAAATTAAAAACAAAAAAGTATCATCTAAATTGGCGATTTCTAAACAGATTTAGTTAATTGGAGCCCCAGACTTTGAAGCAATTATTATAAAAGAATAAAATCAACATTTAATTTTGAGTAACATTATTAAAATATATAGGAAACTCATTTTGTCTTTAATGAGAACTAAAACTGAATTCCTGGCTTCCTCCATAACTTGGTTTTAGTATCTTATTTCCTCTAAGTGGCCATCTTTTCTTAGTCAAATCAAAAATAAAATTAGTTCAAAGGCATAAAAGAATTTTTACTATACTGGAATTGAGTAGTTTATCTGCTTATTTATTAACTGCCTTCAGAACTACAATGAAATTAGATCATTACTGTAGGTATATGTTATGTACCTAGTGAGAGACCAATTTATTGTATTATTTTGTTATCCTGAACAAATAGACTTTTCAGTATATAGTCACAAGAAAAAAACAACAAAACTTTAATGATCAGCACCTATTTCAGGCACAGAAATTCTACAAAAAAATTTAATCTTCATACCTAACATAGAAATGACTTCATACACTATGAGGTAGAGTTAGCTTTCTGCTTTATTAGAACAGGAAAAAAAAGCTAGAACCCAAATGTGAATTTTTAGGAGAATATTCTAAATACATCTTGTTCTCTTTCATAATAATTAAAACTATGATATATAACAAAAATTTTCAAAATAATTTTTCTGGTATCCTTACCAAATGGAGGGTAGCATTGAATTCTGAAGAACATAAGTTCTATCCAGAAACAAAAAAATGCTCCTGATCATTATCTGTCAAAAAACAGAAAAAGCAATTTTTGTAATTTTGAAACTGTAGTATTGGTTCTCAATAAGAATTTGAAAGCTTCTATACTAAATAGACTACTAGGAATCAACATGCAAACAAATACATCCAGTTGAGAATATGTCCCACATATTTATCTTTAACCTATTCTACTGCATTAATCCTTCTTGTAGTTTCTAGAAAACAGAGAGTTAAGATGGTCTCTAATGTCTTTCCTAATTAAGAAGTAACTGAAAAGGGAAATAGGAGGTAGGCATAGGGTACACCTGCAAATCCAGCACTCAAGGGAGGAGAATTTTGAGTTTCAGGCCAGTATGGGCTACATAGTGAGTTCTAGGCCAGCCTGTGCTACACAGTGAGATCCTATCTCAGAAAAAAATAGAGGAACTCCAAAGTACACTTACTTCTTCCTCAGCAGCAGTGCTAGGGAGGTAAAGCTGCCTTAAACTATAGGCATGGCATTTAGGGGGTGGGAAGTGGATTTAAAGATTTCTATATGCATTCATATAAAGAATAAACTAATACCAGACTAGGGAGGATGAAGAAATGTTTCATCTAAATAAACTAAAATATCAACTTTCACACATAACCAAATAATATACGGGGATATTACCAACAAGACTAATAGAGGAAGATACAACTTTAATGAGGAACACTTTTGGGTAAATAATTCAGAAAAAAAGGAAGTCAGGTGTGATAGATGATGCCACGTAAAATCCAGCACTCAAGAGGTTGAGGCAGCGGGATTGCCATAATCTATCTAGTAAGACCCAATTTCAAAACAAAAACTGCATTCAACAACAACAAAGACTCAGGATGGAAACCATTCTGAAATGCTAGTTTACCTATAAGTTACTGTTTTAAAGAAAAAAGTCAACCAAAATTAGTTTCCAATTTTAAAAAAAAGAACAATTACAGACACCTTCCCTAATACAAAACTTCTGTTTTAAATTATTGCATATTACTTTAATTATTGTGTATTAATTATACATAGCAATAGCTTTCATTATACCACTTTCATATACGTGTATCAATTACATTATTTCATTATACCATTTTCATATATTTGTATTACAAAGCTCTTATTTTATTCACACATTTCTTTTGCGACAAGGTCTTGCTATGTAGCCCAGGCTAGCCTAGAATATATAATGCTTCGCTCTGTCTCCCAAGTGCAGGAACTCCAACTGTGTGTTGCCACATTGGGCTATAAAGTTTTGTTGTTATTACCATGCTGTGCCCAGGGTATCATTCAGCTACACCGTAATTCCTCCAATGAAGCTGTCAAACATTCTGGCACTTAAATTTGTTTGAAATGAAGTATGTACTGCTATTTCCAACTTACCATTTGCCTACAATGATTCTGCCAGCATTTATCAATCTTTTTCAGAAAAAGAACACTATCCAATGAATCCCTGAGACAGATGTTAAGGATATTTTAAAGTGTTTCATACAAGTAATATGTGTAATATCTTCTGTCTTATTATTTGTCTTAAATACAGAATATCCCATACTATAAATGAAATTAAATAGAAATTATATAACATAAGTCTATTTCTTAAACTGCAGAAATAAATTAGATCCCCTTTAACATGCCTTTTAAATCTAGTCCTCAAATGGAAATCTGACAGGTTAACAACAGTACCTTTTTATTTAAATACTACACATGTAGATTTTGACCTTAATTAAAACTGAAAGTTTCAAATCTTGGCTTTTTCCTTTAGAAATAACAAAACAAATATAATCTACCAAACAGGCATTCCATCTACAATAGAGCCAAGCAAGAAAAAAACAAAAAGTATGATTTTGTTTTGAAAAGGATATTCTCTGAACTGATGAATCTGTGCTTTGATGTGATCTTCACAGATCTGCCTCAGTTGTTTATACAAATTTGCAGATATCTTATAAGAACAAAGATTTTCTACGGCCTGCAAGATGAAACACGTAATTTGTTAGGACAGGGGTCTCAATAATCACATGAAGTCATTACTTTGTTATATGCTAGTCAGCTCATTGAAAATGAACTATTTGCTCCAAGGCCACAGAGCAACCCTGTCTCGGCACCCTCCCCCCCAAATGAAAATGATCTACTTGCCCATTTAAAAAAACAAAAGCATGGCATTAGCCCAACAGGCTGAGGCAGGAGGATCAGAAGTTTGAGGCTAGCCTGAAAAACCCTAGTCACATAAACACACAATCTCACACCCCCTCCAAAATAGATATAAAGTAAAACAAGAAAACATACCAATGTGGATGAAAAACATTTTCATTGTCAATGTGCTATGCAAATAAAATCCATATTTGAACAACAACTACATACAAAAGCTCTCTTATTACAAATGATAACAATTTTCATAAGCAGGATATCACTAAAATTTAAAAATAATTTTGCCTGTTGTTTATATATGATAGGCCAGAAACGACTACTACAACTCAATTAGAACTTATTTACGACGGGTGTTGGTGGCGCACGCCTTTAATCCCAGGGCTCAGGAGGCAAAGGCAGGCGGATCTCTGTGAGTTCGAGGTCTACAGAGTGAGTTCCAGGACAGTCTCCAAAAACAATACAGAGAAACCCTGTCTCGAAAAAAACAAAAACAAAACTTATTTACAGCTCCTTGGATTTTTCTGAATAAAGTGGAAATTATTGCCAGCAATATTGAAATTAGTATGATATAAACACCATGAAAATTTCTCCCATGTTGAGGCTACAAATTAGTAAAATACCTGCCTACCCAGCTCAATGTCCAAGATTCCATACTCTGAATGACAACAATAAAATGAGTATATTTTCCCTTCATTAGAGTACTTGAATTTATCCTCAAATCTTAATAGGACAAATCCAGTCCTATGTGTTACTTATGTGTATCAAAAGCCTTTTAAGTTTAAAACAACATGTATGGTAACTCTGATATTAATCCACAATTGGTAATGTCTCAAGTGTAACACCAAGATTCTTTTCTCACCAAAACAGAAGACAAAAATCCCATTGAAAAGAACTGGGGTGTGTGTGCAAGTTCTGTTGGTATGAGTTCAATTGTGTAAATATGTAGCTAGAAGTCACACTGCTAGAATTCAAGTCCAGTAATCAAATTTTAAAAAAAGCTAGGACACTGGAGAGATGGCTCAGGGGTTAAGAGCACTGACTGCTCTTCCAGAGGTCCTGAGTTCAATTCCCAGCAACTACATGGTGGTTCACAACCATCTGTAATGAGATCTGGTGCCCTCTTCTGGCGTGCAGACATACATGGAGGCAGGATGTTTTATTCATAATAAATAAATCAATCTTTAAAAAAAAAGCTAGAAAGTGTTGGCGCATGCACGGCTTTGGTTCTAGCAATTGGGAGACAGAGGCAGGCAGATCCCTGTGAGTTTGAAGTTAGCCTGGTCTACACAGTGAGCTCCAAGACAGCCAGGGTTACACAGAGAAACCCTATCACAGAAAAAAAATAAAAAGGAGCCTACTTTTTCCACTGAGGGAAATCATTAAACCTCAAAGGGAGAGGGTACTTTAATCCCAGCACTCAGGAGGCAGAGGCAGGCGGATCTCTGTGAGTTCGAGGCCAGCCTGGTCTACAGAGCGAGTGCCAGGACAGCCTCCAAAACTACACAGAGAAACCCTGTCTCGAAAAAACCAAAAAAAAAAAAAAAAGGGAGAGGGTAAACCCATCCGATTTAACAGCTATGGAGAAACAGGAAAGCTGAGTCTCCCCTAAGAAAGACTCAGTTACAGTACATGTAAACCTAGGGTTAGGTCACAAATGCCTAGGGGACACTTGTTTATTTCATGTGCTCCTCTATTCACCCTGGTCCTAAATGGGGTGGGTGTCCTCCTCCTTCCTTTATAGTCCTTCTTTTTACTATTTAATGACTGACTCATTTTCTCAAGCATGTCTCATTTCCTGCTTAGGTTGTCAATGGCATAATATATACTTCATCTTTTCTACTTTCCCTATTTCTGATACTTCAATAAATCCTATTTATCTCACTTCCTTCTGTGTTCTCCTTTATCTCATAAAATGGTTCTTGACACATCTATTTATCTTCTCACAGACGATACATTTTCTGTTACTATTCAATAGGGTACTGCTTCTTCCAAATAAGGTAACTCCTTTCACTGCCACAGGTTTGCATAATGCTTCTACTCATCACACCACGCTGACTTGTCACTAAATCAATACCCTTTCTTTTTATGTGTATGTCCTGTCTTCTTGACTTTGCCTAATGATAGAGTGATCACACAGTCATAAGTTATTTAATACTTTGACTTTAAAAGTGTGTGTGTTAAAGAGAGAGATTACAACAATACATCCTGCGTATTAGCAAGGAGTTCTATTAGAATGAAAACCATGATCAGAACACTACAATGTGAGCTAAGTGTTCTTACCGGAATAATCAAAGATAAGACTCCCTACCACAACCTTTGGGAGAGGAAAGTTAGGAATAGTCTCCATGGCAGAATCCCAAAGCCCCAGGGAGAAATGGATAGAGCATCAGTGAGAATAAGAAAGAGAAAAATGAAGCTGAGCTTTACATGCAGTCTCATCTATGATTAGCTGAAAGGTAGTAGAGTAACTTTCAAGTGGGCTAGGGCTAGTATAGCTCAGAAGTAGATGGTCTGCTTAGCATTTGTGAGGTTCACAATCTGGCAATGTAAAAGATGGGGGTGTCAACACAGGGCCTTAAAGCCTTTGAAGGTAGTCAGGCATAAAATACAAACATTTAGCAAGCTTTTAACCCTTATTCCTCCAGATCCCATCCCCTATCCACCAAATGCCATGTCTTACATTAGAAGCACAAAACCTACCCCAACCACTTGTTTGAAAAAAAAAAGAAAAATATACATACAGAAAATGAAATGTGTTTCATAAACAAAGACAGTAAGATAAAGAATTCCCACCAAGGGAATTCTTGCCATAGTCGTAGTAAGTTAGGTATTTTCAAACTTTTATTTTTAAAGAAAGAAAAAAATTGACTCAAGAGGTGGCTCAGGGAGTAAAAGACTCTTGCCAAGCCTGAGGTCATGACTTCCATTTATGAACAGACGAAGTTGTCCTCTGACCTCTACAAGCATTCAGCCCCTCCTTCATCATACACAGAGGCACAAACAAATTAAAAATTAACTAAATAAGCCTGGCAGTGTTGGTGCACACCTTTAACCCCAGCACTTGGGAGGCAGTGACAGGAGGTTCTCTGTCAGTTCGAGGCCAGCTTGGTCAACAGAATGAGTGCCGGGACAAGTTCCAAACCTATACAAAAACACCCTGTCTTGAAAAGCAAAAAATTAACTAAATAAAATATAGTTTTTTTAAGGACCTGGTTGTGGTAATTAAAATTTTTAAAGGAGATTTGCTTGTAGTGGCACACACCATATGGCTAAGTTCAATAAAACAAGTGACAGCTCATACTGGTGAGGATGTGGAGTAAGAGAACAAACATGTGGGACTTAGAGGCAGTGGACCTCTAAGAGTTCATCAAGGAAAGCCTCATCTACATAGTAAGTTTCCAGGTCATCTAAGGCTACATATATAGTGAGACCTGATCTCGAAAAAATTTAGAAAAAGAAAAGGAACCAGTTATGGTAACATATACTTGTAAGCCCAGCCCTCATGAGCCCAAGGCAGAAAAATCTCAACTCTTTTTGAGTACAGCCTGGACTGCACAGATCTTGCCTCACAAAAGAAAATGTACTCCAAAAACTCAGTAGCATACAAGAGTAAAATGCAAATTATCTTTTATATCTGGTTAAAAAAAAGGGGTAAGACAATAGATTACACAGAAAACAATACACTAAAAATTTACAGGAAGGAAGTCATTCATAAAATGAAACTTAAATTGTTTTTGTTTTAGCCTTTTCCTTTTTGTATTGTTGTGGAAATTTCTCCCATTCTATCCTGCAGAAAGCTCCTTAATCAGGTAGGTAAACAACTCAAAATAGCTTCAGGAAGTCCCTGAAACTGACCTGATTTACAGTGCCCCTCTCTGACAGAGTGTGCAACAAAAGATGAGTCTAAAACAGAAGGAATCTGAGCTACAAAGACTCTGAGACCACAACTACATGGAAGGGGTTTAGATCAATGGAGGTATCTGGTAAGAACACTGTACAACCTGCTGAGCTGCTTGCAGGCTGTGCAGTGGGCTCCACGTTCCCAGCTTTGTGAGCTGTCACCCATGCTAGGGTAAGCTTTGGTGATGCAGCTGTCTTTGAGACATTTCTGTCCCTGCAAGTAACCCCTCATGCATAACCCTGTAAGTATCCTAAATAAAACTGTTTTGTTCACCAAGCTAGACTTTGGTGGTATTCACACTTTAATCTATCATGAGTTCCCTATCTGCGGTCAGTAGACTTGTATACTGGGGCTTCCCAGGAAAAGTTTTGTCACAGAACAGCATGTACAAACAGTGCTGCAGTAAGATCAAAGTTGTCAAGGACGTTCATTTTGTGACTGCACATTTTAAAATGATCAGTGACAGTACAATGATTAATTAAAAGAGGAAGAAATAAGCCTGGCAGTGGTGGCATACACCTTTGATCCCAACACTCGGGAGGCATAGGCATGGGCAGATGGATCTCCAAGTTTGATGCCAGCCAGCCTGGTCTACATAGCCAGAGCTGCACAGAGAAACGCTGTCTCCAAAAGCAAACAAACAAGCAAAAAAAAACAAGGAAAAATATGTAATAGAGTGTGATCTTGTAAATCATTAATGGGGTAAGTCAGGTATGCTGCTCATGCCTGTACTCATGAAGCAAGAAGATAGTCATAAGTTGAAGATCATAATGGGCTACAGGGTTCTATGTCAGCCTGAGTTAGAGGGAGTCCCTATCTTAAGAACAGAAACAGGGCTGGAGAGATGGCTCAGTGGTTAAGAGCTCTTGTTGCTCTTGCAGCAGACCCAGATTCCATTCTCAACATTCACAAACCAGCTC